GCCCCCAAATTTCCCTCATGCCCTTTGGTTGTCAACACCCTCCTCCCCGCCAGGGCCTGGCAACCACTGACCCGTTTTGTCTCTAGTTTTGCCTTTTCCAGAGCGTGATGCTCATGGAACCCCATGGTATGGAGCCCTCGGGACTGCCTCTTCGCTTGCCTTCCTGATTGATGTGAGTCAGCCATGTTGTTCCGTTACCGGCAGTTTGTCCTTTTTATTGCTGAATAACATTCTGTTACGTGGCTGACCCATGGCATGTTCAGCCTTTAACTGTTGATGGAAACGAGTTGTTTTCAGCCTTTGATGACGAAGAATGAGGTTTTGATAAACACCATCAGCAGGCCTTTGTGCGGGTGTATGTTTTCCTATCTCTGGGGTAAAATCCCAGGCCTGGGATGGTAGGCTAGGTGGCAGGTACATATTTAAAGCTCGATAGAAAACTGGCTTTTGATTTTTAAAAAGTAACTTCGTACACATTATTTTATCCTTATGTCAGTCTAACTCTAGTTATGCCCCATGTCATGGCATTGTTGGAGGAATCTTGTGTGCAAAATAGAGCTTTAACTCCAAGTATGACAGCGGAGAGCGGTCAGCCAGGGCCAGGAGGCAGCGTTTCTAGAGGAACGGGGCTTTGTGTCACGAGAAGGGCGCAGCCTCGGGTCATCTGTGGTTTCCACTTTGCTTTGCGAGAAACCTGTGTTTATTAGGCAAGTCGCCCACCCTCTCTGAAGGCCGGCTATTAAACCCTCACATTTAATAACGGCAGGGTTGCTACAAAGATGATCTGGGCGAGGTCAGTGTTTCCCATGTAACACGGCTGCGACTGCCGTCAGAGCAACAGCTCTGGCTAAACGCAAAGGCTACGTTCGAGAACACACCAGGCGTCACCTATAGGCAATTTAGGATTCATTAGGAATTAATGGGTTTCTTCAGGGGTTGACATTTGTCACCCAGGGACCAATGAGTTTCATTTGGCGCTAATGTCTGTGATGTGTGAGTTGTAAAAATACTGCTATTCTTATACTTTCCCACAGATTAGCATTTTGTACTTAATTTAAGATCGAGTTTTTCATGCCACGACAGTGCTGTCCACAGCTTATACCTATGAGCATCTAAGTTATAACTTATGTGATGCTGTGATAGGCAAGGGCCCATTTTAACTAAACTTCTGAAGGACTGAAACCTTTCTACAGCTCCACGTAAGATATTCTTTTTTTTAAAATATATTTTATTGATTTTTTACGGAGAGGAAGGGAGAGAGATAGAGAGTTAGAAACATCGATGAGAGAGAAACATCGATCAGCTGCCTCCTGCACATCTCCCACTGGGGATGTGCTCACAACCCAGGTACATGCCCTTGACCGGAATCGAACCCGGGACCTTTCAGTCCGCAGGCCGATGCTCTATCCACTGAGCCAAACCGGTTTCGGCAACGTAAGATATTCTTAATCAAACACATGGACAGGTGGTCCTTGACTTTGCTATTTTAAGAAGATTCTCACTCGTTTACTAGCAGGTACTCCATCCACTAGAAACGTTAGTTAGGTTGCAGTGACACCTGCTGGTAAGCCCGTAAAACTGTTACAAACGGCAATAGAATCCAATATTTCGGTCATTAAAACTTATATTTGTGTTCTGGGTTTAAAAAAATGAGATTGACGGTACCTGTTCATTCCTGGTTCAGTGTGATTCAAGTGGTCTGGGAGCCTGCGCACCTCTCTCTGGGATCTTCATAAAGGCCAGTGGCAACACAGGCTTGGCTGAGAAGTAAAACGTCTTTTAAATCATCACCTCTTCCTGTCAGTGTTTACCACGGAACGTCGACACCATCATCGTCTTCTGCTTTATCATCCCATCATCATCGGGATGTCTTTTGGTCCTGAAATTGTACAACAGTAGCCACATTTGAGAAAAACTCCGGGGGAGGTTAGGCTTAGGGTGGAGGGCAGCTAGCAAGCTCAACAGAGCTCAACCTTAGGGACTCTTTTTTCTTGTCAAGAGGTAGCAGCACACAGCTCCTTTAAAACCTACCAATCCAACACTCTGATTTAGGGTCACAGAATTTTACAACTGGAAAGAAATTTAATAATCACATAGTTCACCCATGATTATATATATTGATTTCAGAGAGGAAGGGAGAGGGAGAGAGAGAAACATAAATGATGAGAGAGAATCACTGATGAGCTGCCTCCTGCAAGCCCCACCCCCCACAACCCGGGCATGTGTACTGACCAGGAATCAAACCACAATCTCAACTTAGTTCATAAGTTGATGCTTGACCACTGAGCCACGCAGGCCGGGCTCACCCTTCTTTTGTAGATGGGGAAACTGAGACCCAGATAAATTTACATATTGCCTAGCTGATAAGAGAAACATGTTTCCCAATTTCCCACTGCAGGGTTCTTTCCTAAATAAATTGTCTCCACTTGCTTCTTGTTAAGCTTATTGTTTAAACCAAAAATACTCATAAATAGGATTTGAAAATCTCTACTTAGCTTACCTGAACTCAATCATCTGACCTTAACTAGAAATGTTATGCAAATACACACTATATTAGGTAATATGGTTCTGTAGTGCTTCAGAAATACCTATTTATTCATAGGTCCTCCCCAGAAACTGAAGCTCCATATTGATTTCTTCAGATGGGAAAAGAGAGGCATGAGAAAAAAACGAGAAATAAACCTTTAATCAGGACAATTTCTTCTTTGATCAGATCTTGGGTCACAGAATGGCGTGGCCAATTATTACTACATAGTTTCTACCCATCATGCCTTTGAAACCTGAAGCCACCAGTGAGACTGTAGGGCAGTATCTTCATCTTCGCTCAGCAGGTACGGAAACCAAGTGCAGCCAGGACTCCGTGCAGGTGTCAATGTACCAAATGCTCTTTGCATTCTGTCCACACTGAGGGTATTTTTGAAAATATTTGGGTTTATTATTGAGTCTTCACCAAAGGCGAAAAGGAGGAAGAAAAGAAAGGAGAGAGAGAGATGGGGGCGGGGGGGGGGGTAGATTTTTGTTCCACTAATCTTTGCATTCATTGGTTGACTCTTGTATGTGCCGACCAGGGATTATACCCACCACCTTGACGTATTGGGACGATGCTGTAACCAACTGAGGTACCCAGCCAGGGCTGTTATGTTTTAATAAGAAAAAGGGCATTTGAAAGGAAGAAAATGAAATGAAAATGGCCATGGTTCTCTGCCCATTATTATGTAGAAACAATTTCCAGAATATGTCACCTGGTGGGCCAGAGGCCTAATACCTCGGTGGTAGGTTGTACAATTAACTGCACTTATTATCAAGGACACATGCCAACAGATTCATTTATTGACCACTGTAAGTGGGGAAGGCATTGTGCTGTATTTACACACGCTGTCTCCTTTATTCCTCAAAACCACCCCCGAGGTGGATGCGATTCTCATTTTGGCAGACGAGGACACTGGGGCTCCAAGAGGTTCGGTAAACATGAAGTCTAGGAAGGATTTGGGCCCAGGGGCTCTCCTGGAACACGAACCCCTAAGTTACAGCTTTCCCTTATGCGGCTTCAGGCCTGAGCTAAACAAGAAGTGCAGGGAAAGGCGGTTCCAGCGCAATTCCAGCCACAAGGCAGGGACCTTGTCCCACAGGCTGTGCTTTACTTGCTTTTCCTATTTGCTGTATGATGTCTGAAACACGATGTCATTAACTTAGCGCTGCTTAAGTGTAAGGACACAAAATGGAAAAAACAATCTGGGATATTTATCCGGTGGGGAATGTAGGGAATGCCTCTGCCTTCCCCTGAGCAATGTACTAGAACACGGGAGACATTTGTAAAAAACACGAGTCTGCTTAATCAACACAGAACACCTGAATGGTAGAAGCTCATTTTATTTATGTGACAGTGCAATCCCAAGAGGACAGAGCAGATAACTAACATTACATTCTTAGAGAGCTTCTGCTTTCTACTGGCTTCATCTGACTGCGTTAACACACACACACATGCCAAGGCAAAAGAAACAAGACATACTGGACTACCTACACAAAGACCTCATTGTTGGAACATAAACCAGGATTATTATAATATTTTCACAGCTTTGCAATTGTGGGGATATAATGGCATTATGGGAGGAGGAGGGGGAGGGAGAGGTGGATGGGGAGGAGGAAGAGGGGGAAGACAGAGGCCTACGTAAGTGCTCCTCGCTGCCAGTGGTGAGCAAGGACCAGACACCGTGGAACACATACTAGTTCGTACAGCAGAGTGGGCAATGTAACCTGACCTGTGCAGACTCCCCACAGAATTCCTCCACCATGAGAAAGATCCCTTATTTCTTCCTGTATCTATTAATCAAAATTGCATGATGAATAGTGCCTTAGATCTTCTTTTTGGCAGAGAAAAAAAAGTTCTCAATGCAAGAAACTGACTGTGTATAACACACACGACTCTAGCCCTAACCGGTTTGGCTCAATGGATAGAGCGTCAGCCTGCAGACTGAAGGGTCCCAGGTTCGATTCTGGTCAAGGGCATGTACCTTGGTTGCAGGCGCATCCCCAGGAGGGGGCGTGCAGGAGGCGGCTGATCGATGTTTCTCTCTCATCATGTTTCTAACTCTCTATCCCTCTCCCTTCCTCTCTATAAAAAATCAATAAAATATATTAAAAAAAACAAACAAACATGACTCTAGCATCCATGTCATAACCTATACTCCAACAGTAAAGACCTTTTGATACTAGAGTTTTGACTTCTGCCTGTGCCTACTCAACATTCTTTCAGAAGGGATATTTTATAAAAAATAAAAAACAATGTACCATCTCAAGGTCAGGCTCAGTGACAAAAATGCACTACCCGAACCTGGTAAAACATCGACTCCTCGCTGAACATTAGCTGCTTATAAAAAGAGCAGCTGCACTTTCCCGTGATCCATGCAGGAAACACTCATGGAGATCAAGCAGAACAGAGACGTCCTTCAGCTGTTACACGAAGCCTCAGAGTCCCGCAGACTTATGGGCAGAAAGAAAAGCACGATGGTTGCCCAAAGCCGAGCCAGGCTGAGTCAGCCCTGGGAAGGCTGGCTGGGGGACCACAGGAAGCTGGAACACCGAGTCAGGAAAGTTCCACTGTATGATACGGGTGAGACCTATCTCTCCTCGTGCCTTTCTCCAGCACCACGGGCTTTGCTAAGAAGCACCTCAGGCTTCGAATGCAAGCGACTGTCCTTTAATGAAAAAGCTGAAGCGCTTCTGGTCCTGGAAACAGCTCACGATGGGTCGTTAAGGCAAATGCCAGGCGTCAAAGAAACTGTAGGGCCATTTCAGAATGCAAACCATCGAGTCACTGCCCCAGGAGTTATGTCCGTGCGTGAACGCTCCTCACAGGAAGACCTCCCGGCTCTTGGGTTTTAAAGTCATGTGGCTTTTACATCCAAGAAGTGCTGCAATTTTTTCCTTTGTAGAGACTTCCAGGGTGGATAAAAGTTCATGATGTTGCTTAAAAACAAACAAGCAACCACAGTGTGGAGAAGCTACTCAACTACTAAGCCGTGAGGTTTGTTTCTGCTTGGCGTTCACAGCTTGCTTTTGTGGTTGGCATAGGGAAAGCCGAACTGAGCGATCATGAGGTTGGAGTACTTGAGGGGCATGCCGCCGTAGACGCTGACGAGCTTATTGACGCAGTAAGACCTCTGCAGGAAGTGCTCCGCTCGATGCCACATTCCCGAATGGCCCCCACTGGTTTCTTTTTCCAAGTTGCCCATGTTTACAGGTTTTACAAACACCCCCGACGTCTTCCCGGTGTGCTTGGCAATGAGGAAGTTCATGGCGATGTCGTCACAGTTTTGCGTGTCATCGACCAGGGCGTGGACGGCTGCGGGCTGCCTCTGGAAGAGCTCGAGGTACTTGCTGCTGAAGAAGGAGGCCCCGATCAGCACCATGGAGTACTGGTCACCGTCCCCCACGCCCGGGGTCTGCAGCTCAAAGCCTCCGTAGCTGTAGACGCCCGACGCGGTGGAAACGTGCTTCCTGGGGACAAATCCTACAATTTGGTCAGGAAATTGCTGAACAGATGGAAAAAGAACAAGTGAGTGGACATTTCTTTAGAGCATAGTGGAAAGGCAATGACTTATTACAAAGAGAAGGAAACGAATCTGCCAGCTTCATTTTATTCCTGTTTCACTGAACTCCAGGCAACGTCATATGTCCAGGTCCTGACACGTTCACAGTCAAATTCCTTCACAGCCCAAATCCCTAGCCTTGCAGACGTTCGCCTGATTCACACACGATCTGTATCAATCACTGCTAGTCACCAGAGGCTGGTTCTCCCCAGCGCACCTCGGGGGAGCGGGCTCCATGAATGCTGCCTGTTCTAGGAGCCATGATACAGTGTGATTCTTTCGAAAACTGTTCTGATCTCTTAGGATTGTGGGTCTACATGTATGAGTTTACTGTATTTCCATGTGGATGCCAAGTTCCTGAAAGTTACTGTGTCACTGCTGATTTTTAGACAATGTTATATCTTTGTCCCTTTTCAGCCTGGTGTTTCCTTTTAAAAAATATGAATATATATAATGAGATGTGTCAGGATGACTGAAGATAGGACAGCAGTAACATAATATTATTAAGGTGAGAGTGACTAAAACAAATCAACAAGCAAAAGAAAACCAGTAAAGCATGTGAAAGAGGTAAGAATAGACACTAAACCAGTATCTCTCTCTCTCTCTCTCTCTCTCTCACACACACACACACACACACACTCTCTCTCAGGCAGGGTTAAATCCCATTTCAAAGTGTGCATGGAAAAGGGGTTCTATGGAAAAAAACCTCACGGTGATCTGATCATAAATCCCTAATTGGGCAGGTCATGGCGGGCAGTCACGCCCCAGGCCTATGACTTCTTTAGTGAAAGGTTTCTCTTTGCCTTAAGCAAGTCCTGTCCCTTAGCACGCCTTTGAAATGAGCAAAACCACCCGTAGGAGAGCACGTAATCTTAACTATACTATAATCCAGAGATTTTCGACAGGTTGCTATAAGAATGTTTAACACATGCAGTACCTGACTACTTAGGAGCAATGACCTTTTTCCCCTTAGATTGTCATATAAAAAAAATGACAACTGCCAATACAACAATAGCCGTCTGGTGTGAGTGAATAAAAATTATACCTATTTTTTGTCAGATCAGCAAAAAATATATTTTTGGGGTGCCGCAGAATTCTAACTAAGGAGGTTACTATCGTGCAAATCAGACCATTTACTGGGGAGCACATTGTTTAAATGTTGGACAGGGTTTCAGTGTTCATCTGCAGTGTGGTTTCAGGTAACTGTAGTGCAACCGCTAAAAGCCAGCCACTGTTAACACACGGTCAGCAGGAAAGCGCTGTATTTTTAGAATGGTGGGCCAGTGAGCAATCTGTGCCTGTCATCCCAGCAGGATTTAGGAAAACACCGTACACACCTGTCACGGCAATGGTGCATGCAGAATTGTCATTACTGATTTCTACACCATGACCACAGAATCAGGAGTAAATTTTGTGGCTACAGTAAATGCTTTCTTTTTTTGAAAGGTTAATACAAAAATACACTTCTCATCTGAGACATGCCTGTGGCCCTGCGGAAAACAACTCTGGATGCCAGTCTTTGCTGGACCACATACCAGGTCATTCCCGCACTGCTCTCTGGGAAGGAAGTGCTAGCTCTCCACCCCAGAATCCCACAGATAAGTCAAATACAGGTAAAGGCAGCATAACCTGCAGGCTGGCTGAACGGAGCACAGGAAGTCTCGATGACCACATCACAAATGAATCTCTCTTTTGGACAAAAGCTGCCCCAGCTGTGTTGCATGACACCACATTAAACCATGCCGCTCTAGGTAAACACCAGATAGGACTTCATGCTGAAGAGTTCACAAAGGATTGGACAACCTTACCTGCCAAACGGAGAAAGCAAATGCAAGGTCTTGGGCGCTAATTAGCATGTCGTCATCGACCATTAACACCGCTGAAATGAAAGGGAGAAATGGAAAACCGAGCCATTTGGAAATGAAAACACAATGAGTAAGATACACCAGTGTCTATACAGATTGTTCACAGGAGGTCCTGTCTAACAAATTAGTAAATAAATGTATTCTTCGAGAGATTTGTCTAGCAGAAGTTTTTATTTGAACTGTAACTGATTTTTATAATTGCCTGAGGGGGAAATTATCATGTAGTTATCACCTATTATTGAAGAAACTAATGAAACTATAAGTAACACCGAGGTTCTTTAACGCCAATGATAACCTCATGTGACTGCTATGCAGAAGGCGGGAGCAAGAAATACATTAAGCTTAAGTGGCATCCACTAGCTCTGAGATGCAGTATGTGCAGGCATAGCGTGTCTCCCTTCACAATCACAACCTCTTGTCCCTGCTGTAACAGGGACGTGCTTTCCTCCCTGCGAAGCTGCTACTTGACGTCCTGGAAACTGTCCCTGAAGTTTTTCAAAGTGCTTTCTTATGATTAAACTTCCCTCTTCTTCTCTAGACAATTAAGACCGGAGGAGTCCAGCCATCCACATATGCCCCAGCTCCCTGTAGCTGCTACGACTCACCCTGGGTCTCCAGTTCAGGGAAGGCCTGGAGCCGATTTCTCATCCTGTTGGTGGTCTGGGGTTTGAAGATCACGGGCACGGGGTGCGGCCCCAGAGAGTTCCATAAGTCCTCCGGTGGCTTCTCCCCAACATTGTTCCACACCACGATGGCTTTGTGCAGCTGCGGCACTGCCTGGTAGTGATTGAGCAGCCGCAGCAGCAGATCCGACCTGTTGTACGTCTGCATGATGAGAGTGAAGGAAGCCAGGGCGGACTGGCCCTGGGCCTTCACCTCCCTCCGCCACGAGAGCATCTTGTCGTCTTTGTTGTTGGGAAGGAGAGTGGTTAGGGCCCCAGCCACCAGGAGCAGCAGGAGGACGGCCACCAGAGAGAGGCGGAGCATGCGGGTGCCCAGCGCTCTGCCAGGAAGTTTGCAAATGTGGCAACACCTGGAGGAGCAATGGAAACAAAACATCAGCCTACTCATGAGTCTCCATGCTTGTTAATGAGGAAAGTGGTTCATCTGGTCTTCACTGGTTCAAGTTCACTTTCCCCGCCTCCTAGGTAAGGTGATTGGGGCTGGGGCAAAAATAAGAAGGCCAATGAATGACCCTCCCTCCAGGATCTTCCTGCTTGGCAGCTGCAGACAAAAGGTCTACACGCCGAACAGGAAGAGTCCGCATTTTGCTATTATGGATAATGCTGCTATGAACATTCATATACAAGTTTTTATGTGAACATGTTTTCATCTCTCTTGGGTATATACCTGTCCCTTAAGAAAGACCTTACGGCATTTTCCACAGCGAAGGCTGCCCCGCAATCTGGCATTTTTCCCCCCTCCGAGAGCCTATATAAAGCATCACATTCCTTCTCAATACTTCTTTAAGCAGCCATTACCTACGAACTAGGTTTTGGGGGAAGTAACCTAAACTGATTTAAGAGGAAGTAACATAAACATTATGTATAAAGTTTTTTCAAAGCCCTGCCTCCTTGAATCTAGCTGTGTGTTACTAGGCAGACAGTGAAGTCCTCTTTCCCCTCAAAGTGCACAGGTCTGAACTGTGCTGGATAAAATTTCCTGCTAGCCTGGCATCTTTCTCCTGGAATTGCCCACTGATTGCAGCTATTGTGTGATAATGATGAGGATGGTGTTTGGAAGTGACCAATCCCAGGGACATAGATTAAGGCAGAGGAAGGAGTGGCCTTATTCCTAAGAGGAACATTATGACTTGTAAGGATGTGGGGAGTCAATGCATTTTATGAAGAAAGCCTAGAAATAGAACGGCATTTTTAGCCCAGTACAGTGTCATGCGAAATTAGTTCCAGAAATGAGTCGAAAAGAAACCCAGTACCTCTGTAAACACATCACTCTCACCAGGCCGGGGTACGGGAGCTTTTCATGTGAACCTCTCTCTGTTTTAGGCACAAAGAAAAAGAGGGGAGGCAAGCCTGGAATATTCTATGGACCCCTCTCCCAGTATTTACATACGCTATACTGGCTTTCAGCAACCGGCTACATCTGTAATCAATCACCTCTCTGAGAGAAACAGATTTTCAGACACATACTTTATAAACAGTTTTAGATATCAAAGCTAACATGGAAGCAATCTCAATTCACATGGGCTTTCTAACTTTATTAAAGGAAGGTCAAAATACGTCCGTGGTAGACATCTGTCAGTCAACAAACATTTATTGGTGCTTACCACGCGCACAGTGCTGGCCCACCCAATGTCTGCCCTCACAGCTTACTGATAGTAATGCCAGTGGTCAGACCCTTTTCCCCTTTATGTTACATAGTATCTCAAAGCAGAAAGAAGGGAATTAAAATACACCCACCCCATTTCACAGATGGGATAACTGACGTAGAGAATATTAAATATTTTTTTGCTGAACCACTGGAAGAGTGGTAGGTCAGAACAAATGTCCAACTCTCACACTGGAGTCTCTTTATATTCTTAGGGTCTTTCTTTCTTTTCAGCTCTGATCTAATCCACAAGAATATTTCAATTTTATGGGTATTGACTTTCCTCTATAATCTGAATTACTACTTCAAAAGATAAGATCAAAAAGACACCTTACGGTATTTTCTAACAGACCATGGCTCAAGCAAAAACTTATTTCCAAGGAAACAAAGTTACCTCGATAGGGAATATTTTTTTCTCTAATAAAAATACAGGTACTTCACCCCTGTTCATAGCAGCATTATTCACAATAGTGAAAGGGTAGAAGCAACACAAATGTCCATCAAGAGACGGATAAACAAGATGTGGTATATCCATACAATAGAATACTATTCAGCCATAAAAAGGAAGGGAATTCTGATACATGCTACAAAATGGATGAACCTTGAGAACATTATGCTACATGAAATAAGCCAGGCACAAAAAGACAGATACTCTATGATTCCACTTATATGAGGAACCTCGAGTAGTCAATTTCATTGACACAGAAAGTAGAATGGTGGTTGCGGGGGACTGGGGGAAGTGGGAAATGTGGAGTTAACGGGTGCAGAATTTCTGTTCTGCAAGATGAAAAAGTCCTAGAGATGGGTTGTTCAATAATGTAAACATACTTAACCCTACTGAACTGTACACTTAAAAATGGTTAAGGTGGCAAATATGTGTATTTTATCACAGCTTAAACAAAGCCAAAAAAATATGGATACTTACCTCATCATGATAGTTCAAATTTTTTTCCTTATGGCTTCAGTAATTGATAGGAACAGACTCTCTTGACCTATTAAGGGAAAATAAAAAATTGTCTGTGATGTTTTTGTCAATCAGCAGGAACATTTAAAAAATTTCTTTCAATGCCATTGTCCACAGGCTTTGAATTATTTCTAGAAATTAAAGTTTGCTATTCTGTCCTCTAAAAATCACACTTAGGTAATGAGGTAGATCATGCCGTCCTACAGGCTGGTGACAACACTTCCACATTTTTGTCTTCCTCTTCCTCTTCAGCATCCAGAAGCAGAATAAGCAGATCGTCCCCACTACCTTGTGTGTTTACACATGTGAAACCAGAACATACTAGTATATGCCATAGAGCGAACGCTCTAAACGCAGCAGCAATTACCGCTTGTATTCAATTTCTGTAGATTTATCCACCACCACAGCTCCTTTTTTCACTAAAGGGTCACAAGGCATTCCATGTGAAACATCGAAAAAACCATGGCCCCTAAAACAGGGTTGCGGATAAATGCCGGGGCTGACGACTGAGGAATGGCAGGTGGCATCCTTCCGATTCCTCAGGGACTATTGCCCGAAAGGAGCTAGAACCCCGGCTGGAGAGGTTCTACCCCTTAATTCTCTCTGCTCTCATTTCTCACAACCCTCCATCACACGTCTGAAAAGCTGGTTTTATTCCCCCGGAGAGTCTGCATAGTTAACCTAATGCAATTAATTAGTAGGAGAGGGTCTAAGCAGTTATTAAAATGTTCCAAGTAGATATCCATTTATTCGTTTTAAACTGTTCATTACCATGCCACCTATTTTACAGTCTCATACACCCATGTAATCTTGTAACGTGAAGGAATCAAGAATCTGGAGACTTCTAAGGTAGTGCCTCTGTAATGACCACCAGAAAAGAGCTGAAGAATCATTTTTTATTTTCCAAAATCATGTTCTTTCATGATACAAGTTACGGAGAGGGCAAAAGGATGACTTAGTACGCATCAAAGACTCACCGAGCGCTAGCGGTCCCTCCCCGCGGGCCCAAGGGCAGCTCTGTGCACCTACACCTCACGGTTCCAAAACCCTGGACACACCTGCCCGTCACTGACCCCCTCCTCAGCTTCTTCCACGAATTCCTCGGAAAGAACCTGGACTCACCTGGGCCCGTAACCCACCTCCTCCCCCACCCGCACCGGCTCAGAGCCCAGCATACAGGAGACTCTCACTAAACGACTGCGGAAGGAATGACAGAAACGAACGTTGGCTTGGACAACATGTATTGGTTAATGGGCACAGACATATTTTTTCACGATGACAAAAGAAGTGAGACGGTCAGGCGTTTTCCATTCACACAACCGTCCCTGATTCCAATGGTGCAGTTTATATCCCCAAGGCCTTCGTGCTGAAGTTGGTAGTTGTGCCGCCCAAGACGGAAAGCTCTGAGGGGCATCGCATCGCCCCTTCGAAAGGAGAAGGCCCTTTGGTCCCAGGAGAACCTACGTTAGGTCTTCGGGGTGGAGACGGGTGGAATTTGGGAGCCCCAATATAACTGAGATGGAACTTCGATTTCTCCAACTCATTTTAAAACGATTTGAAAAGATCCCTGCGTGAACCAGTGGAGCAATTTATAGCAATGCTAAAATGCACGATCTCTTTTCTTGTTTTGTTGTTGAATTTACTGGGGTGACATTGGTTAATACAACCATCTAGGTTTCGGAGGTTCACTTCTATGATGCACCAGCTGTGTATTGTACAGCGCGTCCACCCCCAC